CCATTACATATCAATGTCCCAAAACCATCTTTAGTTGCTGTTTCCATGCATTGATTATAAAAAGAATGACTTCAAAAATAATTCAGATATTCTTTATTTTAAATCAACATTATAAACTTTTATCAAAGGACACAGTAAATTAGTAAATTAGTATGTATAGATCAGAATCATAACTACATTTCTTGTTGAGAAATATATATATATACAGGATCACTTTTTCAATCAATGTGCCAGAAGTCTTTCACTCTCCTTTTCATGGTATGACAAAGACAACTTTTTTCTATGAAAGTCCTCGCTAATCAAATTTACAATAAAACAAGTTTCAACCCAAGCAAAACCCCAGCTTTCTGGCTTCTGAAATGGCTCACTGAAAAATATTCTTTCTTGAACTGTAAAACATGATCTTGAGCATAAAGCCTTAACTGAAGATTAACAATCATCACAACCTATGAAAGAGATTGTTGAAAATACAAAAGTTTACCACTTCTGACATATTGTAAACAAATAGTAGCTAAGTTTGTTCTAAGAATCATATAATGTTGAGTTCTAGCTTGGTGTTTTGAGATTTTATGCTTCTTAACTGAGATTTTTAACTTCTTTTTGCAAAATACCTCTCAGTTGTATACAGAATGCAATAAGAATGACTTTAGCAATATTTACACTAACTCTTGATTAGCAATGGAAGTTTATGGAACTTACATTTTTGTACCAAGCCGCGCTTTGGCCTTTCTGTTTACAACCACAAATGGATATTACTCCTCCGGATGAAAATGGGTGGCAAACGAGTGACGGGAAACTGCAAGTCTGAAATCGTATGGATGACCATTCCCTAGCGCCGAATTCCCTACTTGATAACGTTCATTGTGGTTGTAAGACTGGCTGCAACGTGGCTGTAACTCCCAACGTTGTTCATGTAACAAAGCCGTAGTGAAGTACACAGATGTATGGTCGTGTACTGCATGCACGAATGTAGATATTGATGTCGACAATGATGTTGAGGAAGAGGAGTTTTTAGATGACATTGACGACGAATTCGAGACAGACCTTTAAAAAAAGCGCGCCTTCTCTTGCACAATACGATTATAACTTTCAAAACATTATCTTCGCAACAATTGCTAAAATCCAACCTAATGCAAGAGTGAAACATGTATTTCTTTCAGACATTTTATTTATGTTGCCAGTATTATCGTGCGGAATAGCTCTCTATTAGGTCTGGCACTAGCACACAAAATATAAATAACATGAAGTTTCTTAAGGAAAATGGCGGATTCCGAAATTGTAATGAGCTACAAATTTTAAAATTTTAATGTAATATAGCAATAAAACTGCAGCTTTTTGGAGATGACAAGAAGTAAAACTGCGTTAAGCATGTAAAGTCGTTCTGTCTTGAATTTTCACGACCTTCCTTGAGGTGTCCAACGGGAATGAAAGAAAATCGGTCACAGATCACGGACTATTACATTACTCATTTTAAAATGAAATTTTAATAAACTGGATTTTTTGATTGGTTCAAATTTCATTGAGCTGTAGGAATGCCATATAAGGATAATTGAATATGATAGTCTTGATCGTAAAAAAGTATTCATCCAAGTATTGGAGTGTTTTTTCATTGTTGCTAGAAACCTCCAAAGAGACTGTTAGTACTTATATTTCACAGAGTTTCACAATCTTGACGGTGAATGACGTAACTATAAAGCTTGTGTTTTTATACATTCCAAATAATCTTGAAGGATTTATGACAATATTTTGAAATATTACTAAAAAATCAACACGATGAGAATATGGGACTATGAAACATGAAAATTATGTTGAAATTACAACTCAATTTTAAACTTGCTTCATGCATTTATGATTTGTAGACATAGTTCAAATGCAGTTCTCCCATGAGTTATTTTGACTTAGGTATATACAGAAAAAATTAATGAGATCACTTGCGAATCAGTTATTTGTTAGATTTCTTTTTCAAAAAAAAAACAAAACAAAATAAAATAAAAAAGCACTTTTGCTGACGTGTTTAGCCATAAGAGCGAGGAGCGCGCGGTCAGTTATCGTAAAATTCTGGATTGCTGCTACCACCGAGCGAACCTTTCCTCTAAGTCTCACCAATTTATTCAGGTCACGAACCTCAACACCATTATAGCGCTTTCTTAAATAATAACATAGGGACTTTGTCGTGGTGACAAATCTGAAAATAGTTCTAAAGATAGCAAATACCATAGTGAATGGTAAAAGTAATATAACAAGTTGACAGTTCTTAAAAGAACTGTTTTAAATAAAAAGCACGGACCCAATAGTTCTAAATTAAACGACACGATGCATTTCGGTAGACTACTCCTCAGTAACATTTATACCAAAGCACATCTGGAGGTTCAGAAGAGGCAATCATCCGCAATCTCCAAGTCTGCAATTAGAAAATGTTAATACTTCAGTTTTACAATGATATTTTTCTTAGGAACTAATGTGATGACATATCAAGCAGAACTTTGAACATTAAAGCGACAGTGTCTCCTAAAGAAAATTGGATAATTAAGAGTTTAAAAAACAAAACTCAATGGCGGATGATCAATATAAATGCTTAGTCGTTGAAAACCATTCCAATGTTAAAATCACTGTAAACTATTACAAAGGTTGGTCTCCTTTTTGCAAGTTTCCGACTTCTTCAAAAACCCTCCAACCAACAGAGAATCATCGCTATCATCATAAGGAATCATTCAAGTTTGAAATTTTGCGCATATAGACAATAGAAATGAAAAGAAGCTTCTTGGACCCAAGAATTGCAACGATATTGAAGTGATAACTATAAATGAATCATTAACTTGTCAACGAAATACTGTAAACGAAAATGGCAGGCAAACAATCGGTCGCCACATAAATCGAGAAAACGAATTGCCCTCTGGAGACTTGTATGAACAACTAGGATTAAACATGAAAGAAGTTCGTAAAATGAATGTAAATGACTTAAAAAAAGCGGTCAAAACAGGATTTCTTAAAATGATGCTTATATGGCATCCCGACAAGCCTAATGGCAATAAGGAAATAGCAGAAAAGATAATTCACGCAAAGGAAATTTTGTTAAATGATGAATATCGAGCTCAATATCACAACCACTTTGACTATCAACAAGGATGGTTTTCTTTAAAACGGTGGAAAGCAATTTTTTTCATCTGAATGCGGGAGTGTAAAGCAACTTAAAGCTTTTTGGAAGCGACTTGGTTTTCTTGTATTCTCTTCTTTATTAGCTGTCGGCGGGATCACCTGTTCTGTTTTAACGGCTGGTCTCGGTGCACCAGTTTTTGTAACATTAGGATCAATAGCTGGTGGAGCGTTATTCGGCGCCGGCTTACAATCTTCAGGTGAATGCCTAAAAGAACGATCTGTTATTGATGGAATGGATTCTGAGAAATGGATCAAAAAAAGCGTTGATAGGTGGAGCTGCAGGTGTCTTCGTTGGAGGTGCGTCCGCTGGCATCACAGCAGGAATAGTAGGCATTGGAAACGCAGCATTATCGTCAAGTGCGGTTTCGATTGGTAAATTTATTGGAATGGGAGCAGCTAATGGTGGTATTGGTGGAGTAATAATGTCTTTGAGCTCTATTCTCTCAAGGAAATTAGTTGACAAAGAAAACATTGCTCTAAAGAAGGTCATAATTCACGCCCTATTGGGAGGATTGATAGGAGCGACGGCTGGTATAGCAGCAGGTGCAGTTACTAAACCTTTAGTTGATAGTGGTTCATCTGCGGCCGCACCAACGATTGAAGGTGACTTAATAGAGCAAGCTTTTACGTACGACTGGACAAAATACAGTTAAACTATTGCGCCTTGTTGGTAAAAGAGCTGCTATTTTGGCGTCGAGAGTTGCAATTGAAAATCTTACGACGCTGCTTACGAGCTCGTAGATAGTTCGGCTAAAAAGCTAGATCTGACAACACTTGTAAGTGAGAATGAGAATCAAGACCAGGAGTTATTGCATCTACAGGAAAACGAAGAAAATTCATTTGGTGGAGAGGATGTTGACGGGTTACAGGAACTAATACACGAGTTTTATCTAACTCAAGAAAACGGTGAGAATGATGATGAAACAAATGAGAATGAATTTGCGCCTAAGGAATTAAAGGAAAAGGAGAACAATCAGCGAAGAGAAAGAACAAAACAATCATACAATAAAGTGTTTGAAGAAACTTCAATTGATGAGTTACAGGTAGGAGCAAATGATTTTTTACTAAGTGAGAACAATTCAAACGTAAAGTATGGAGCATCTGCAAAAACCCTGACACATAGCTCTCAAACAGAGAGAAATTTTTCGTCAACAGTAGAAATCGATTTCAATCAAAGTAATTCAACCTGCACAAATAATGAAAATTTTGCGTCAAAAACACAGCGACGCTCAATTGCCGATGAAACAAGCCAAGAACAATTGACCAAAAAAACCATTCAGTATTACTTTGAGGGATCATGGATCTCAAAGATGATCGTAACTTATTATTTAAACGAAGGAAAAGTCACAGAAGAAGTAAGTGGTAATGGAGAAAGAGTGAATATTTCTGCAAGCGCAACAAATGTCGAAGTGAGATTTAAAGTTATGCGTCCATTTTGGGGTGATGTCATGACGTACGATCGTTTTAACAAGACCTGGTTAAAACCATATACACCTCACATCTTCCGATACCAAAAGCAAAAATCGCACATTTACTCTTAGTGGTAATCTTTGTTGGGAGGCAGTTATGGGAGTCAGTAATGAGTATGGAGAAACAAAAGAAATGGGTTTTTTATCAACTGACGAAATTTATTGCCCTCAAAGAAATTCAACCTGCTCAAATAATGAAAATTTTGCGTCAAAGACCCAACAACACTCAATTCTCGACGATATAAGCCAAGAGCAGTTGACCAGAAAACCATTAAATATTACTCCAAAGGTTCATGGTTCTCAAAGATGATTGTAACCTATTATTTAAACGAAAGAAAAGTCACAGAAGAAGTAAGTGGTGATGGGAAGAGTGAATATTTCTTCAAGTGCAACAAATATCGAGGTGAGATTTAAAGTTATGCGTCCATTATGGGGCGACGTCATGAAGTACGACCGTTTTACAAATACCTGGTCGAAACCGTATACACCTCATATCTTCCGATACGAGAAAGCCACTGGTCGCACATTTACTCTTAGTGGTAATCTTTGGTGGGAGGCAGTTATGAGAGTAACTGATGAATACCATGAGGAAACAAATGAAATGGGTGAAGTTTAGAAAGGTGAAGAACTTTCTATAATCAATTAATCACTGAAAATAACATTTGTTGTGTTTTGAAGTATAGTACTTGCACCACCTAAATAATGTAGTAACTATATATTGTAATATGAGTGTATTCTCCGATTGTGTCAAGTACTGTCGATAACAAGAAACTACTCGATCTTTATCATTTCTATTGCGTACTGTACTCCATTGTACTTGGAATCATTTATAAAAGGTAATGAAAAAGATACGTTCCTACACCTAGATAATCGTAAAGATAACACAGAATATAAAATAAGAACCAAAATAGCTCAAATAGGGTTAGCTGCAAAGTATTTTAAAATGGGGATATGACTGCTGTAACTATTGTAACCGTCCTCTATTGAACGAAACTACATTTACATAGTTGAAATGACCTTGATTCTTCAATAAGTCTCATTAACGTTTTTTGAGTTTTTCAGATATCGCCAGCGGAAGTAATGATTGGGAAACGTTCTGTTAACATAGAACAAATAAGTCATCGCTGAACTAAGTGATAATTGACCTTACCTGAGATTGAGTGTAACTGTAAATACAACGTATAAATCATCATTATTCAAATGATGGAGACAGCAATGACTCTCACATAATGATTTTTAAGAAAATAGTTTTCTTTGGACAATTATCTTATACCAGTATGCTTTTGTGTATAATGTAATAATTAAATAGTAATTTTTATTGCTCTTCGAAATTCTGATTTTTATTATTCTTAGAAATTGTAATTTTGATTGTTCTTAGAAATCATATGTTAAGGATACTTTCCAGAAAAGCAACAGTTAGGTCAATTGTAAATTGGGCGGTTCATATTCATATATGCATGATTTGTTGTCTTGAATTCTTTGAAATTCATTGTTTTTAATGTTTCATATTTGTAATTTAATGGAGTAAATTATTTTTTTCTGTTTGGGTTAGATAACTTGAGCTAGGGTATTTGCATCGTCTAAGATTGTCAAACACATTAAAGGTGTTTGTAAAAGAGTAGGGTTGTGGTAGCTGTAGCAGGCTAAAATGGTAAAACACAGGCTAAAACTTGTGTTCTACACTTTACTAATTACAGGTACTAGCTATATAATAAATTAGACAATATATTTATGCTATGTTACAAGTGAAAATTTACTGTAATATTATAAACATACTTTAGGCATTCGATCTTGCCGAATACGAATGTTTTATCCCCACCTGCATGCCCCTTTCTTTAATCTTACGTCCCCAAACTCATGCGTCAGAAACATGAAATCCTACAAAAAAGCTTTAGTTTAAATTGAAACGCTCAGCTCAGCAGGTGTCAAATAAAACCAAGCGTTGACAAAAGAATAAAAATACAGTCACCAAAGTGAACGAACCATGTGAAATGAGACATAAATATACAGAAAGAGAAATAGTTTTGTCGTTCATGCTTATTTTACAGAAGGAACGTTAATACATAATCAACTTATTAGTGATTATTTCATTGCCATTTTCAAATGTTGAACTTTATATGCGCCGAATGCATTAAAGACAAAAGAAAATGAGATAAACTTCCTCTAAAAGACTGCAAAACCATAATTTGTATACGCACAAGATCTACACAGGAAATTGTGTACATCATGTCTCGATAATCTTTAGTAAGTCAATGCGTTGCAAGAAAAGGTAAACATCAAACCTAAGTACATTTTCCGTAAATGGACATCTCTATAGCGCTTAAAGGACATTGGCAACGAAAATTTTTTTTTCATACGTTTATCATAGATAGCTATGGAATACTTAATTTCGTGTTTTCGTGTCTCTTTTGAATTTTGCTGTTGAGAAAATTTGACATAAAGTTGAATCCTTATCCGCCATTTTGGAAAAAAAGCCCTATGCTAAATTATGCGGAATACATTACTGACGTCATTGGCTGGTGTCCACTGAATGACACAATATAAAATAATAGTATTATAATAATATATAGCACATTTGTTCACTGGAATTTTAAAACAAAAACAACAGTCGGCGGTTGTTAAGATTAACAAAAGTTGTATAGTTTATCACGCTTATATACTTTTCCAATATTTAGTCGTTATAAGACGTAGAAACGTTTATTTTAGCAGATCTTACAACTAGGTTTTGCCGACATACCAAGTGTAAGCCCAGACAACAACAAGCGCGTCTTATACACTGCACATTTCGTGCAATAGAAATATTTCATTTTCCCATATTACAAACCTGTGACCAACAAATGAGTTATACGTGTAATTTATTATTTATATACATAAGAGTCTTTGAAAGATTATGTAGTTTTATATAGGTGTAAGCTCTAAGCCGCTATGTTTTGTTCTTGACTGTAGAGTTTCGTTTATCCGTAATGTTTTACTGCGTGTTTGCGTGCACAATGTACAAGTACACTTTTCGTTTAACTTTATAACTTATGAATGAATACAAGTTTTGGGTGGATCACTCATGCATTTTGCTTTTGCGCAGTTCGTGACAATCCTTTGACAATGATATGGCTCGCAATTGCAGACCATAACAAAGAACATCAAAGAGCGTCTGTCTAAGACTAAATTTAGGGTCTTTCGTGATAACATGCGTATTTCAAATGTGTATAAAGTCCGTCTGGAGACGCGAAGCGTTTTCGTATGCTAGCATAAACACAAGCAGGAAATGGTCTTCGATGTTTCTTCCCCAAAATTTGAAAAATCCACCTAGAACATCTTTGATAGGCAACTAATCGATACAGCTTGTGTATTCTCGCCAGCTCCTCATCAGACAGGGGCCAGTTTTCTTCAAGATGCCGACACACGTCTATCTTTAACACACTTTCTGACAGCATATTGTTCCTAAATTCTTGGTGTGTTGTCAAGCAATTTACTCCTTGAGTTTCTATTTGGCCTAGCAAAGCCTCATACTCATCGTATTCAAGCGCGTTTTCGTGGCAACAAAAACACTCTATTGCCTTTTTTGACAAAGTACAATGTCCACACTTACACCAACTAAGAGTTTGAAGGCGCAAAGCATTTGCTTTCTCAAATTCAGCATGTATTTCATCCTCCGACGAGGACAAGTCGCTCTGCTCACTCTCCTGTTCGGAACCGCTTTCTTCACTAGTTTCGGCCTTCACTTCAGGTTCATATTGATAGGGCAGAACCTCACCCGGTTGATTTTCGTGTATGTCATCCATTACAGCAAAAAAAACCCGTAAAATACGCTTTAAATGTGTTGTAACGCAGTCAATCACAAAGTATATTGTATTGTTGTTTTGACTGCTCACCAGCCAATAACGTCACTACCGCTCGAGATTTTTTTATCAAAATTTTATCCAAGATGGCGAAATTTATAAAACTTTTGCTGCAAATATCTCAGCAACAAAATATTTTTGAGAAAAAATTTTTCTATTTTAGTTGTTAGACATCACAAAGGTTCAAAAATATGCCATGAAAATTTTCGTTGCCAATGTCCTTTAAGTTAATTTTTTAGCGCGACGCGCGGCTCCAGCATTACGATAATTTTATGGGATTGTTTTGCGTATTTTACTTAACATTTTGGCATACATGCTAATAATCGTTTTTAATATAACCTAATCCTTTCCTGAGCTACAATATCTTTTTACTATTGCATCATAGTGAACGAAGCTTTCAATGTCCGAACTTTGACTTTGCTTACATTTTTAATGACGTCATAGATACACGTGCACGCGCCGTAGAAGTGGTGAATTAAAGCGGAAAACAAATGACGGGAAATTACTTTTCACATTTAAACAGAAAAGACGCGAATTAGCTAAGCCAGTGTGTGTGTGTTATTATGTCTTATAGTTTTCTACGACAGCTTGACTATAGTTTCTAAATACCATTCTCGTGCAAAATAACTAGTTTCCTGCGACACAAAAAGCTTTGTTTTATGTTGAAATAAAGGCTGAAACTGTATGTTGCTCACTGAAATTGTAAAGTTATGGGAAATTATAATATAAATTTTGTGCTACCTTCAAAAGTAACAAATTTCAGTGTAGATTGTACATTTTAAAGTATGGCAAAAAAAGCATATTATGTAAACCATGAAGCCTGAGAGAAGGTTAATCCAATACAAATCGCAGACAACCAGGTCTTGGATAGTATCAAAAACCATGTCCAGCCGACAATTTAACCAATTCCAGCAGACAATAATGTTCAGCCGACACTTTCTTCGGAATTTGTTTTTTACTATATTTTGGATATTGTCGTTCTATATTTAATCTTGCTGAATCTTGGACGTTATACCGTAGACACTTCACACGTCTCCGTCAGCTACAACAACAACGTCACCTGTCGCAGAATTCACTGAGTTCGTCCAGAAAATTGATCTGCACTCTGTTTTTGAACTAAGCCTTAATATTTCGTCAACTCTATGCTGAACAAATTGCTTCCAATTGCCTGAGTTGACTATCGAATACAAAACAGTCATACTATCAGTCCAATACTTAACGCCCTCAAAATTATACTCTGACTCTAACGCTTTCCTGACTGCAGACATTAAATGAGCCAATATTCTAGCTGCCATTAATTCTAACCGCGGAATACTAAGTTCTTTCATCGGGGCTACTCTTGTTTTGCTGGCAATCAACTTAACACGAACATCGTTACCGTTCAAAACAACTAGATACACAACCGCACAATAAGCTCGCTTTGACGCATCCCCAAATCCATGCAAAAAATATCTCTGCTTTGATTCTGAGCCAGATGTGTCAGTCACGCCGCTCGAGTACCTGCCTATTGAAACACTCTTTGCCTCCTTTAGATCTCTCAACCACTTCTCCCACTTCTCTTTCACACTTTTAGGCAATGTATCGTCCCAATCCACGCCACTGTAACAAATATCTTGAAAGAGAATTTTAGCTTTAACAATCGTAGGACTCAAGAGCCCTAATGGATCGAAGATACAAGCCAACAGACTCAACACATTTCTCTTCGTCGGTTCCGTGTTTTCCGCTTTCGCACTCAAATTTTCGAAATCGAATATTATTACGTCCCCGACGCTATCCCATTCCAACCCTAATACTTTACCAAATTGACCCTGTACTTGAGCAAGCGTGGTTTTCGCATACGTTTGCTCATCAACACAACTACTTTCCACGTCACGCACATCGTCTTCAATTTGCGATCTTAACGCACTATCATTAGTCCGCCATTTGCGTAACTTAAATCCGCCTTCATTCATGCGTTCGTTGGCCTTACGATATAGCTGATACGCTCGCTCTGTACTAGATTCACCGCTGGCAAGATCGTCCACGTAAAAGCTTTTTAGCAGTTTTTCTGAAAATTCCCTATCGCACTGTAAATATTTGCTAATATGATGCCTTAACGTCGAATTAAGCAAAAATGGTGACGAATTCACCCCAAATACGACTCTACAAAAACGGTAAACTACAAGATTCAAATTATTGCGCAGTACATCATCTACCCACAAAAACCTTAGGCTATCTCGATCCCTTTCGTGCACTTCAATGTTTAGGAAGGCCTTCTCTATGTCCGCTATTAGCACTATTCTTTGCTCACGGAACCTAAGCAGAATATCAAACAAAAGTGGATTAAGTGAAGGTCCGATATGCAAACAATCATTCAAAGAGACACTTGACTTGAGTACTTTAGCGCTTGCGTCATAAACCACTCTAACCTTTGTCGTCTTGGCATCCTTTCGCACGACAGCTTGATGAGGCATGTAATGTATTTTGGCATGAGAATTAATCACACTATCTTTTCCTACCCTCTCTATGATGCCTAACTCTTCTTGGGCCTTAATGATAGTGTCATATTCCTTCAGTAATTCTGGGTTCTTACCCAGTCGTCTGATTTGTCCCTTCATTCTCTTAAGACTTAAGTCATAGTTAGTAGGTAAAGGATCGTGACCCTCCCTCCAGGGCAAACCCACTGAATAACGCGTACCGTCAAAACTAAGATCGTTTATGACCGATTCATGCACATCGCTTACTTTGTCCTTAATTCCTAGGCTTTCTAAATCCCAAAAGTTTTCTACGTTGATACAAGTTTTATTAGCGGAGCAAAAATTTACCTGAGCAGTGGCGGGTTGATTCTTATCCGTGCTTCCAACCGGCCCTGAAACTACCCATCCAAGCACCGTCTCGATAGCAGGCTCCCCTGCTTCCCTCGCATAATACGACCTTTCTGCAACGACCACAAGTAATCCGCACCCACGAGTACGTTTACCTCCAATTCCTCATTTACCTTACAAACATCAGACAACCACAACCCCTTCAAATGTTCAAAGTTATTTCGAACCACCTCCAAATGTTGATTACTAATTACTGATATTTCTGGTACAACATATGCCTCGATAGATACGACTTCACCACCCGACAACGAACTCAAATCCAATCGCACAACCCTTCTCAACTCGTTCTCTAAAGCCCTTTTCCCAAACGTTCCTATTCTCAGATTTTCTTCACGAACGACTTTACATCCCAACGCTTTAGCCGTCCTTTCAGTAACAAATGATCTCTGACTCCCAGAATCCAACAAAACCCTTACTCGTCCCGACTTACTAACAACCAGTTTTGCTTGTGCAGTTTGCAAAGCAACATTGCATCCTGCTTTTTCACAACTATTCTTAGGACTTACAAATAGAGTATTACTACTATTGGCATCTACATTCCCAACCTCCCCTTGTCCAACAGTTCCCTGGGGCTTACTTTCCTTTCCCGAATCACACAGAGCCTTGTGGTGATTCTTCTTACATATACTACATTTAATATTGTTGTGACAGTCACGAGCCATGTGGTCCTTTTCCAAACAAATATAACAACGACCGTATTTCTTAATAATATTCTTACGTTCCTCAATTGACTTGATCTTCTCACATTCTTCATGCCGATGACATCCCAGGCAGAATGCGCAACGAACCGGTCCCGATTTTGTCAGGAGGGCGCTTGCTGTTTTCGTATCGTTCCGCCTGGCCCCATTTGATGACTTCTCAGGATCACCATGCCGTTCTCGTTGCTCTCTGAACTCGATGCTCTTCTCGCAGCTCAACTTCGCACTTTAACGCTCTTAACATATCGTCCATATCCCACTGATGGAAGTTTTCGCCTCTCGTGATCAACAATCGAATCGATTCCGGTATCAAGTTCAAAACGTAAGGTACCACGATTGATGAATACGTAGCGCTGTCCACTCCCAATGCATCCAAACCTCGATGATGTGCTTCGACACTATCACACAAGTGACGAAGAGACGTAATATCTCTCGGATCTTTCACTCTATCTAAGTTCAAAAGTTTTGCATGTGCGCTCGTTGGACCGATTCTGGCTTCCCATAGCGTTCCTTCAACGCGTCTATTGCAGCGTTGTAGTTCGCCGAAGTCAAAGAATATCCCGCGATACATGACTTCGCTGGTTCGCCTAAGAGTCCCCGAAGATAATTGAATTTGTCAACGTCGGACAAACTTCCATTTCCGTGAATGGCGCTTTCGAAGGAATCCCAAAAATCCTGCCATTCGCAAACATTTCCATTGAACCGCTTAACATGCAGCTTTGGCAATTTTGCGCAAACTGTTCTATTGGTCACCGACGCTCCTCCGTCGGACCTTAACGAACTGTTCATTCTATTTTCCGAAGCGCAATTGCCGTCAATCTTTTGGCGAAGCTTCCTCGCCATCGACCTTGCTTCAGAACTTATTCTTCCAGCTTCCTCGACTTCGCTGACAATGTCAAGTTCTGACGCTTCTTCGTCCCCAGCAATCAAGTTAAGGATGTCTTCATCCAGTTTTTGGAGCATAGCGACTGTCTCCAAGATTTTGTCGCGTTGCTGTTCCGCGTCATTCTTTCTTCGTTCATCGAATGCGTCGACTAAGCCTGCTGCCGACGCCACAACTTTCGTCAGGTAACCGCGATGACCTGCTCGTACTCTTTTCTTTCTTGCTAACTCCTCCATACTATCCGGCTCGAAGGACCACTTGTCGCAGAATTCACTGAGTTCGTCCAGAAAATTGATCTGCACTCTGATTCGGTTTGTTTTATGGAGTTTATTAGCAATGAACAATCTACACAATCTCTTCGACTATTACAAATTTGAGTCTATTTATATGTTTACATTTCGTGACTTACGTGCACTATTACAACATGAATTAATTAAGAGAGAAAATACTTAGGAAGTGTTAAGTATATACACCCTAATTTTTAATTATAATTTTGGCACACATAAAACTCTGCATGGGAACTTATAAAATCTGGCATGCAATAAAAAAAATATAAATAAAATATCCTAAATTATACAACATCACCTACGCGCAATCCTCCGCATTTCCTATCAACAAAGAGTAACGAATGACGAAGTTCTGACGAGAGCCAACTCCATGGACATTGAGATAACCCTCGCCAAAATGCAGCTAAGGTGGGCTGGTCATGTTGCTCGCATGGCAAACAATCGATACCCAAACAGCTACTCTTTGGAGAGCTCGCTGAAGGAAAGAGACGTACTGGTCGTCCGCTCCTGCGTTGGAAAGACTCTCTCAAATACACTTTGAAAACATGTCAAATTTCAATAGATAATTGGCAACTCGAAGCGGCGGATCGATACGACTGGAGAGACAAGTCACGTAAAGGTCTCAATAAGAAGGATGATTTGAGGCGGCGGAGCAAAGCTGTAAAACGATCAAGACGTCACGCTACCAGGAACGCCTCCACTGTCGCAGACTCGGGAGAATTTCGTTGCCAACACTGCAACAGGACTTGCGCAAGCCGCATTGGCATGTTAAGTCACGAGCGCGCTTGTGGAAGTCAGTGAACTAAATGGACTTTTGCAGACAGCCATCGTCGTTTCGACGGGCAGCAATACTACTACTACTACTACATATTTAATATATTTATGTCATTCTTCTAAGTAAATGAATTATTACTTTGTTTTGCGGTTGAAAATTACTAGCATTTTATTACTTCCTAAAAGACATTCTTAGCGTGTAGTTATAACAAAATAGTAATCCTGTAATGTAATCCTGTCGTGTTTTGTGAAATCCCTGAGTAGTGAAATTCAATCACGTAGTGAAATTTGAAGTATTGGAGTGGCAGCACTGTACATAACAATCTAATGCGCCATCTTTTGTTTCAAACTCTTGTAATATCTTGAGTATCAAGAAAACGAGATGTCCTCTTCGGAATTTGTTTTATTTTGTAACAATCTAATTATAAAGCTGTTGCGCAGTTCCAATCAGCACATACAAACGTGATAGTTGGTTATGAAGTTTACCTTCGTGGAATGTTTGTCTGAAGTCTAAGAACTGTCAACAAAAACAACGAGCATCTTTCCTGTACAAGAAGCATAGCGTGACTAAAACACGAACAATATTTATCGTTGACATCGTCTTCAATAAAAACGGTGAGTTTGGATGACGTGTTCGTTGATTGTAGACATATTACATTGATTCCTAAAAGAGAATTCATTTTGAGAATAAAACGTGTCTATGACCAAACTAGCTAAATTGTCATCTGTTTTATTAGACATTTTTTGGATTTTGAGCTCACTTTGTTCTATGTTAACTTCGAAGACAAAATATATCGTTTATCTTTGTATTTGAAGACTGTCATTCATTTTTATTATAGTTCTCGACAGTTTCATTTTAGATCAACAAAATTATTCAGTTTACAATAACTATCTTATCTCACAACATTTGAATGTCAGCTTCTACTCCTTTCCTTGTGAACGAGACGAGTCAACTCAAATGTAGAGAGCCTTGACAGGGGCGGATCTAGGATTTTTCAAACATCAGTTATGGAACGTCGGAAGCGTTCCGCACCTGGGGGGTCGAGGCGTTCTTCCTGGGAAATTTTGAGTTTCAAAGCGTTGCAAATGCCATTTTCAGCGTTTTAGAGCAAAACAAAATGTTTTTTCTGGGCATCGTTTTGTCGTAAAAACAGCACAATTCCTTACGTTTTTTTTAAAAAATCCTGAAATACTTGAATGTTTCAAATATTTAGGCTCATTATCATGCCAAATATAAGTCTCATTAGCATGCCTGGGGAATAAAATTTTTTTACAATAATGCTATTCCAAAAAGATAGTCTTTAAAAATTTCTACCAAGTTGTCAGGTATAGACTTCTAGAGACCCCCATTCACAAATCTATGTAATGAGTTGAGTTGAAATGAGGTACTACAAGGGACAGTTCAAGATGTGGAAAAGCCTAGACTTAAACCATGCAAGTTTATTGTAAACCTTATACAGTGCCAGCAAATTCACTTTGAGAAAAACCAAAATTTTTTCTGCCAAAGATTAAACAAAGATTATTGAATAAAATTTGCGATTAAGGACAGCTTAATGCCATTAATGTTTATTAGGCCTTTCACTAGACTATTATCTTCTGTAAGTATATGCAAGGTATATAGCAATTACCAGTAGCATTGTATTTGCAATACAAACAGAATGTAACCAACATGCCTTTAATCATATAATTACATGAATGTTAAAATTGGTTCACCTGTCATGCTTACTGGTCATGATAAATATCTTTTCATATGATCAAAACTAGTTTAAATGTAAATCTGAAATAATTTAGTTTAGAAATTATAATGATCATTAGAAAAATTACCTAGTGATCATGAAAATACTTTTCTGTTTTGCCTAATTTCAAGGTTTATCTGCATACCTAGGAATACAATTTTGTTTTATAGAAATGGCTTTTCATACATCAATAGCCCTTAGAATTTCTGGCAAACAATCTGGTATGAGCGTAGATCACACACCTTGACATCTCTACATGAGGTGTTCATTTATAAAAGGGACAATATGTGACATGGGACAACATTCCATGTATGTGAAATACTCAGGTTTAATACCATTCCAGTCAAATTGTCAA